ACCTCAGCTAGACCTTTTGTGACGTACTCGATTTTCACGAAATATGGGTTACTGCTAATGAACTACAAGCATGAAACATCGGCCTGCTCGGAGAGGATTGCACGGAGACAAACAAAGTCGGATGAGATCGGACGGGGCGGAATGGAACGTGATGAGACCAGACAGGATCGGACAGGACTGGGTTGGAATATGGACGGGACCGGAACGGGCCGGACAGGACCAAAGCAAACAGACAGGACCGGGCGAACAAAACGAGACCGGACGGACCGGATGGATTCGGACTGTACCAAACGGGACCAGGGATGACCAGACGAGATCAGAATCGGAGAGCTCCAAAGGTAACTGAAAGGAACTGAACGGAACAGAACGGAACCCAACGGAACCGGATATAACTTGATGAGAACCAGACGTGTAACAAGCGTGAACGTGTGAGGCCAGGCGGCACCGAGTGGGACAAAACTGGATTGGACGGCACTTGACCGAACCGGACAGGACCGGGTGGAGCCGGATCAGATCAGGTGGGACCGGGCGGGACGCAGAAGCCAAGGCAGGACCGGATGTAACCGAAGACCAGATAGGGCCAGGCTAGGACCGAAAGCGACCGGACGGCACCAAACAGGACCGACGGGGTCGGACGGGGTCGGACGGGGTCGGACGGCACCAAACAGGACCGAAAGAAACCGGATAAAACGTCCGCAACGACGTAGAACGTCTGACCGGACGGAATGGCGCAGAACGTCATGAAGCAAGACGGGGCAGGACGGAGCCAAACCAGACCAAACGTGACCGGATGGGGTTGATGGAATCGGACGGCGCCGGACGTGACCGAATGGTGCCGGACCGCACGGAATAGGATGTGACGAGATGAGGTCAGACAAGACCAGATGGGGCCATAGGAGACTAGACGGGACTGGACGGTACCGGATGGAGACTGGCGGGGTTTGATGGGACCGGATGGAAACAGACGAGATCTGGGACCGCTGGGACTGGTCGGAGCACGATGGGATCTGACAGGGCCTCGCGTGATGGGATCAAGATTTTGGCTTCCTATTAATCGGTCACCAGAAATTAATTAGAAATAACCAAAATGGAAACTTTCACCAACTTGGATGGATCAAACATTTCACCGCCGATCGGATCATTGCCGCCAATACGGACGTTTCATCACAGGTTTAACGAAGTCGTTAGCCGTAATGCCTACTTAAGTCAATAAATACACAAGGATAATGTCCAGAAAGAATAGTATCCACCAGATTGGTTGAGGCTCCACCAAGTAAGACAAATCACCAATATATAGAAGGACATAATAATTTTAATTAGAATCTAGGATATTCACCCCACCAGCAAAAACGACTTTATTTTCAAACCAAATCATCAAGCCATCAACCTGCAAATAGTTCTGGATGCGGATGCCATTGTTCACATTGGAGTTGCGTTCATAGGGGGAGTCTGACTAGCTGTCTGTCTGACTGACTAGCACTGAGTTTCGTAGATACTTAGACATCGAAGGGCGCAGTCAGCTGGTGGTGGTGGTGGTGGTGGGGGCACAAGGGACGTTTTCCTTCCGTTAGATCCTGAGTGGCCTTTGGGACCCCCGGAACAGACTAGGCCTGATTGGAGGACCCAAAGGGCTGACGAGGGAACGACCCCGGGGCGAAAGCTTGGCCCCCAGAGATCAGTCAAAGGGACTTGTTGCGCCTGTTGGGCCTGTTGCGCCTGTTGAGGGTCCCTGGGACGACGAAGGCGTCTATGTAAGCCCGAGGCTTTCAACGCTGAGCAGCTGGCTCTGAGTCGGTGTAGACCCTGAGGGTTCATTTGTGAAACAGGGTCAGGATCCGTGTCCGCGATTATTACTGAAGGCCTCCTGCGTTGGCCGGGGCCCCTGAAATAAGGTGTCTCCCTGTATCAACACACAAAGTACTTAACAGGGACACCTGTGTTGGCAGGGGGCTCTTAGTTAACTAGAGGTGCATTTTGCTGAAAAGCAATAGGACGGGACCCTGGATGATAGCCACTTGCGTTGGTCTAGGTCCTCCTGCCTTACATGGAATGAAAATACTAGAAATCACAATGAAATAGTATATAATGAGACAACAAAAGGTCTGGCCAGCTACGGATCTGGTGCCGAACAGGCTCCCTTCTTCAGACCTTTATGGAAAAAGCTGCTTGTAATGTAATATGCGCGGCACGGTCCGGCACATAGACGCAGCCAAGATCAAGAATGCGGAGGCCCACCCTACCCACCACCACCCCTGCGTGACGAGTTCTCATTGGGATGCTCCGTAATGGATTATCCTGAATGTGCCTAGCGACTCGAACGCGCGCATGGTGACTTGAACCGCCATACCTTCACAGGTGGGATGGAATCACCAGAAGCTGATAACAATACAACTACAGAGGGCGACGAACTGTTGCTGTTGGGTACGGTTTCATTCATTCTGGTGATTTTTTATGCTCTTCCACATATAATTGGAGGCTCAAGCCCTAGAGCCTGGTCAGT